TCTGCTTTGTGCAGTACAGCCCTCGCAATCGGAAGTTACGCTCTGGACTTTTCCCTTCCAATTTGCAATTCTTTCTTCCTTGTCTCTGCTTTGCTAAAGAGTTTCCCCTCCCCCACTTCTTTCTTTTATAATAGCTTTGAGTGTGGCAACAGAAATTGACGTAAGGTTACACTGCATTGTAAATGCAGGAAATCTACAGAATGAATAAAATGCATTTGACTCTCATTGGCTCTATCCTTCCTTTCTTTAGGCAAAACAAAAAAAACCCCCCACCTTTTTGTGGGTGGAGAGAAATGGAGCCTGGCCAATTTTATACAAGCTGTACATCTGACCTACTCCAGAATCAGAGGAATCAGTTGACTTTAGCCTGTGGCTTCAAGTCTTCTGTGCTGCCGCCAAAAATGTTCACAAATAAACCATTCAAGATAGTAAAGCACCTGTAAGGTCATGTAATGAAAAGGAAATCAGTAATGATAAGAAGCCCTTTGCAATTGTGTAAGCAAATATAAAATATATTTCCCACAGAGATAACAATGGACGGTATTCAACAAGTCTGTCTCATCAGCACAGTGATGTATGCTTGTGCAATGGGATGTTCCCACTTCCCCCTTGGGCCCACTGCATCCTCCTCAAATCTGCTCTAAATGGTTTGGAGAACGGTCTGTCCCCCCTGAACAGAGTTAGGGGTGCATGGGTAGAGGAGAGGAGGGAAAATTCAGCTGCTCAAGGATCATATTCTATGATATGATTCTATGAAATCTTTGTACTGACAGAACAAGTTGCTTAGAGCTACATTGAATTACTACTACTACTACTACTACTACTAATGATAATAAATATTGCCAGGAGCTCTGTGGAGATATCATGGAGGGGATGGTCATATCCCGAGGAGGAATGGGAACTTAGGGAGCCAGCACTGGATGACCATGGGAAGGTTCCTAGGAGGAATGTGAAATTGGGACGCCAAGAAGTGTGGGAGTCCAGGAAGATGGCCAGCAGTCTAGGGGGTAGAGAGCTGGACCCAGAGGAGGGACCAAGCAGATTGACTGAGGAGTGCTATGCCCCTGTCATTGGATACTCCAAACCACATACCTCCTCCAGTCAGTGTGGAACCAGGGAAGTGACTGAGAGTAAACTGGAAGCTGAGCTGGCATGCCCATTGTCGAGAACATGGCCAAACTCACTTGAAGGAGTGCCCATTTACATGACCAGTCCTGGGACTATGGCTGTTTGCTGTGCTAGAAGTTGTGCTTGCCCTGTTCTTCAAAAGAAAGGTTCAAGGGAGAGTGTCACTCATTGGATGAACGTCCTAACTTGCACTTAGCCATGTACCTTGCCTATGTGCAGTTCTGATTTACGCATTAAAGCCTTTGGCAGAAATTGAGCTGAGAGTCTGAGTTGTTCGTCTAGTAGTGAGGGTCAAAACACCAATAGATCTCAACCCTAAATTTGACAAGAAGCTTAAGCTTCTTGTTTAGCCTTTGTTCTTCTGTGGCTTCTGAGAGGAGACTAGAATATCCATATTACAGTAGATCTAAGAGGTGACTAATTTGGAAGGTCTAGGTACTTAAGTTTGAAAACAGAATGTCTGAACAAATCAGTTAAAGTCTGAATAATGCACATAGTTGTCTCTCTGGACCAAAGTAATGTCAACTGTGTGAGTGCAATCAATGTATGTGTGCTTTTGTTATGAAAAAAGGTGCAGGGGAGCTTTGGAACCATGGGGTAGCTTGGTTGAAGAAAGGGGAAGTTGGATTTCTAAGAGAGGCTGAGGAAAAGGTGAACTTCTCTCTACCTGTTCTTCCCTTTATAACTAGGGGGATTAAATAAAAAAGAACCCTGGGTGATTGAATGGAATGTTCTGCCTTGGTTTGCATTTATTTACACTGGGGGTTTCCAAACGAACACTCCACACCCTGACAATCTTGTAGCATAAGATGGAAGTTCCCTGGAGTACAAGGCTTGTTTGGTGGCCGAAACAATAATCTCAGGGCATAATCAGGGTTGGGAATTTTATTTGTTAATTAAACAAAGTTATAACTGATTTGTAACTTCCTTCTTATTTTAGAAGGGCTTGCACTTCCCTTGAAGGAGCAGGTAGGAGCTTGGGTAATCCTAGAACCATCTGTCACTGGACGCCCAGGTATTTTCAGTGGTGAGGAGTGTTATTTCCTAGCTATGTTTGTTTCACCAGCTATGGCCACTCCTGGACAGAGATTATCTGACCACAGTAATCCATACTGTGGTAACTTCTACATAGGGTGTCCTTGAAGAGGGTTTGGAGGTTGCAACTAGTACAAAGTACAGCACTCAGGGTGCTTGTAGAAGCTGTGGGACAGTGATATATAACACATGTTTTGAAAGAACTGCACTGGTTGGCTATTATCTTCAAGGCCTGATTCAAGGTGCTTATGCTGACATATAAATAGCAAAATGAATTGAGCCCCAAATATCTGAAAGAATACAACTTCCCATACTAATTTGCTTGGGCATTAAGTTCTGCAGAGGGAGCTGTACTTGTTTGCCCTCCACTGAGTGAAATCTATAATGCAGGGGTCCATGAAGGAGCCTTCTGCATTGCAGCATCGCACTTATGCTCCAACCTTATTTTCATTTTACAGATGGTTTAAAACATAGTTATTGAGGAACATTGAAATGTACTGTGAATTGGGAAGGGCATTAATGTTAGATCACTGCCTTGTCATAGCGAAGGGGCTTAAATAACTCAGAGAAGCTATGAGCTATGCCATGCAGGGCCACCCAAGATGGACAGGTCATAGTGGAGAGTTTTGACTAAACGTGATCCACCTGGAGCAGGAACCGGCAAGCCACTCCAGTATCCCTGCCAAGAAATCTCCATGGACAAAAACAAAACCCAGCAGTGGCCAGAGAATTGGAGAAGATCAGTATTACATCCCAATCCCAGAAGGGCAGTGCCAAAGAATGCTCCAAATACCGCACAATTGCGCTCATTTCACATGCAAGCAAGGTTATGCTTAAAATTCTACAAGGAAGGCTCAAGCAGTATATGGACTGAGAACTCCCAGAAGTGCAAGCTGGATTTCAAAGGGGCAGAGGAACCAGAGACCAAATTGCAAACATGCGCTGGATTATGGAGAAAGCTAAAGAGTTCCAGAAAAAATCTACTTCTGCTTCATTGACAACGCAAAAACCTCTGACTGTGTCAACCACAGCAAACCATGGCAAGCTCTTAAAGAAATGGGAGTGCCTGATCACCTCATCTGTCTCCTGAGAAATCTCTATATGGGACAAGAAACTACAGTTAGAACTGGATATGGAACAACTGATTGGTTCAAAATTGGGAAAGGAGTATGGCAAGGCTGTATATTGTCTCCCTGCTTATTTAACTTATATGCAGAATTCATCATGTGAAAGGCTGCACTAGATTAATCCCAAACCGGAATTAAGATTGCTGGAAGAAATATCAACAACCTCAGATATGCAGATGACACAACTTTGAAGGCAGAAAGAGGAGAGTGCAAAATATGGTCTGAAGCTCTACATCAAAAAAACTAAGATCATGGCCACTGGTCCCATCACCTCCAGCAAATAGAAGGGGAAGAAATGGAGGCAGTGAGAGATTTTACTTTCTTGGTCTCCATGATCACTGCAGATGGTGACAGCAGTCATGAAATTAAAAGAAGCCTGCTTCTTGGGAGAAAAGCAATGACAAACCTAGACAGCATCTTAAAAAGCAGAGACATCACCTTGCCAACAAAGGTCTGCATTGTTAAAGCTATGGTTTTCCCAGTAGTGATGTATGTAAGTGAAAGCTGGACCATAAAGAAGGCTGATCGCCGAAGAATTGATGCTTTTGAAGGGGACGACAGAGGACGAGATGGTTGAACAGTGTTCTCGAAGCTACTAACATGAGTTTGACCAAACTGCGGGAGGCAATGGAAAACAGGAGTGCCTGTCGTGCTCTGGTCCATGGGGTCACGAAGAGTTGGACACGACTAAACAACAACAATAATTGTTTAATTGAATATTGAAATGGAAAATGATTCTGTATGTGTGTTGCTTAAGGTTTAACATAGGAAATTACCATTGAAGCTAAGTAAGAGCTCCCAGTAAGTGCCTAACAAGTTGGTATGTAGTTAACTAGTAATGTATCTCAGCTGGCTCTGTTATGAGCCTAACTTAGATCACATAGTATTCAGTTGCAAATCACCATTTGGAGAGAGTTGCCTCTGTTCTCAAGCCACTGAAGACAAAGGTCAGACACACTTTGCTCCTAGGCCTTTCCCCTAGGAAACACAGATCTCACTTCTAACACCAGTGTTAACAAGCCACCCCAATCTTTGCCGAGCAGTGCACGAAATTCCAGGAGTCTTGGCCCTGAACAAGGGTCTGTATCTCTTCAAGGCAAAATAAGGCAGTGTCTGTCAAATATGGTTTATTTACCTGGAAGACACAAGATCTACCCACCCGGGAAGAATGGCAGATGAAGCTGATGGACTACATGGAGTTGGCGGAAATGACTGCCAGAATCCGTGACCAGGGAGAAGAGTTGGTGGAAGAAGAGTGGAAAAAATTTAAAGTTTATTTACAGAAATATTGTAAAATTAATGAATGTTAGAAGGATGCTGGAATGAAGTTATATGGCTCTAACAGAAATACCATAAAGAATGAAGTAAAAATAGATTGTTAATGGGTCAAAGTGGAAATTTAAGGTTAGATTGTGATAAGATAAATTATAGAACAAAAATTAAGAAAGATGGAAAGGATTTGCTGAAATAGCTAATTGAACAAGAATACAAAAAAGGGAGGTGTGAGGAGGTCGATGATATAAGTAAATGAAAGGTAGAGATATAGAGATACTCGATGTGTTTTAAAATGTTTTTGTTTCACTTGTTGTTTTGCTGTGTTTTTAGTTTTTCCTTTTATTCTTGATGTATTGTGAACTTTTTTTGTTTTTCTTTCTTTATATATTCTGTAACTATTAAACCCTTAATAAATATTTTTTTAAAAAACAAAAAACAAATATGGTTTATTTACAACCTGAGTGTAGATGGGGTACAGAATTTACAGCATCCTCACCTCAGGAGCATCTAGTCCTTCCCCATCACCTGGCATTGCATTCAGAGCCATCCTATGTGCAATCTCTTTGTTTCTGCTTCTTGCCTCCACAGCAGCTCGTTGAATTCTGCCCCACTCTTTCCCAGCAAACTTTAAATTTTCTAAAGGCACAAATTTTCCTGTGACATCATGCCCCCGTCACCTTGGCAACCTGCCAATTCTCCTGTCTCTGACCACTCCTTGGAGTGGGAGGGGGCTGAAGGACAGTTCTTTTGCATTGCCAACAACCCTTAATGGCGCATCACCTGGTTCCCCATGGTTCCTTAATGGCTCTGCACTTAGCTAGCCCAGCCATGCTGTTTTGCATAAGCTAACCCATTAATTCCTTCTCTGCCACAGTTCTGCAGCTTGTACTTTCCCTTCATATCCCCAAAATTAGCTGAATACTACTGTTCATTGGTTTCTAATATTCACTGACCGACTCTGGTATCCCAGCTGTGGCAACACAAATGATGTAGAAAAATGATGGCGAAAAGGAGGAGGGGAAAGTCCACAGTTCCCTAACACCTACTTGATATTCCAGGGAATTAACACAATGTGCGCGATTTCCCCCCTCCTACTTGGGAAATAGTATTTTGGAATTTCCTGCACCTACCACTCCTCAGGAATTTTGTCAGTGAATGGTGATGTCACAAAAAGGATCTATTCCCTCTTCTGTTTGGCTGCACATACATCCCTATATTAATTAACCAGCACTCAAACAATGCTATAAAATCAGCTAACTAGAGTAGGTAAGAGGGAAATCCCCATAATTGCAAAGCGGAAGAAACGCCCTTAGGTGAACTGCCAGAGATCTCGAGCAGGTGTTATAAATAAGCTGACTGAAGCTAGTTCACTCACATCTGAAGAGTCAAATTCTTTTGATGCACATAAGCAGCAGCGTGATCATGATGATTGGCTTCAACATGAAGAATGTGCCCTTAGCTGTTCTGGTGGGTCTGCTGCTACTCTTGGGAATGTGTGAAGGTAAGTAGTGTTTCTGGATACCTCCTGCTCCAGGACTCCTTGTGATGCTGAAGTATGTGCCCTGAAAATTAAGATGGAAGATAGGATTCCCAATGGCTAGGAAAGAAAGAAAAGTCCAGAACAGTGTACTTCAACCTTGTGTCTCCATCTGCTGTTGGAATACTTTTCCCATCTTCCCTGACCACTGGCTAAACTGGTTTAGGATGATGGATGTTGTATTAGTTCACCAACTTCTGGGCACTCAACAATGAAGAAGTCGTCTAGAACATTATTGGAAATGCTTGCTATCTGATAGCAAACTGATCCAAAATGTGTGTACTAGGAACGGCAATGATAGAGATGAAAATGTTACTTTGTGCCTAAATTTAATATATATACTTTTGTAATTTGCCCTGGGACCTGCTGGTAAAGCCCAAGTAATGAATTAAATTAATTAATCAATGTATATTTTTTCTTCCTCACTCCAGCCCAAAGCAACCAAGATTGCTGTCTCACTTATACCAAGAGGCCTATTCCTCACCGGATTATCAAAGGATTCACAGAACAGCTTTCCAGTGAAGTCTGTGACATCAATGCTGTCATGTGAGTTGACAAAATGAAACAATTACTTGTATCAATGAAGGAGAGTAAAAATAGATGCCCAATCATTCAGTTTAGCTCAAAAAAGGTCTCCAAAATGCTTCAAATACTGTGTTTCCAGCAGCCACAATGAAACATTATTTTGACCCCATAGTTCTTAAACCCTGTAGAACTTGAGAAACCTAAGATGGTACAAAAATTGGCATTTCTCATAACCTAGGCCAGAGCTTGTAGCTGAGCTATTTTTAGTATCTATTTTTGATATCAGTATTTTTGCTTTCTTATCCGTAGTGTACACAACTTTAGTTACACTGTACATAACTTCAGTTGTTGTTGCTTAGTAGCTTTTAAGCCTTTTCAGTTGAATGCAACTGAAAACAGTCAAGCAACAAAGCTTGCCGGAGAATCTCAGGGGAGCATTCCTGTCTCACATTTTCCATGCAGTCAAAGTGTACTAAAATTTCGTGCTGTCACTAACAATGCATGACAGAACTCCATTCCTCTTCACCTCCCCTATTTTTTGTGCATTCGTTGGTTTCAGGAGGATCTCTTTCCACCTTAGTTTGTACACACACACAAAATGCCGACAGCTTCAATCCATACTATGGTGATTGATTGCCATGTAATAGGCTCTGTATGCAGCAAACCCAGTGCTACTCATTGGGCTGAGAAAGGACCCCCACAACAGCATGCTGATTTAGTCATCTTAGAAGATGTGACCTTTCTGCATTATTCTACTGACTGTAACTGTTTATGTTATTTTAAAACTGATAATAGTTTTTGCTCTTTCTAGATTTCACACTAAGGGTGGCTTGAAAGCTTGCGCAAATCCCAGAGAACCTTGGGTGAAGAAACAGCTCCGCTTGTTGAGGTCAGTAGGAGGGAGGAATTGGTTGCCCTGGCAAAGCAAATAATAGGATCCTCTAGCTGCCCTATAACAGTGCAATCCTAGGTTTGCCTGTCAGAATATTAACTATGGGAGGGGTTTTTTTAATATCGCAGCTGTGCTTAAGGATGGTGAGCCGCACTGTGAAAATGAAACATTTCATTTTTCACTTCTCCAATAGGAAGGAACAGCAGCTTAAGGCTGGAATCCTGTGCATACTTGCCTGGGAGTAAGTCTGAGTGGGACTAACTTCTGACAGGCAAACCTAGGATTGCACTGTTATAGATATAGGGCAGCTAGAGGATCCTATCATGTCATATGATGTTAGACTCCAACTGTCTTCAGCTTCAGCCAGTATAGTCAATGTTGAGGGAAGATGAGGGGTCTCTTCCACTAATATTTAGAAGACACAGGTTCTTCAGTTTTGGTATATAAGACAGGAGAGCTGTATGGAAGCAAGGAAAAATTTAGCTTACCTATTTATTCTTTCTCTTTTTTTTACAGTAAAAGACTCAATAAGCTGTCACACTTTACTTTTTGAAATGAAGCAAGAGGCAGAGCCTGGTCAAAAAAGCTAAACTAGGTTGAAATCATACTTCTGGACACTGTTGTGTGCTTGCTGACCACTAATCCCTGGATTTTCTGGAAGCATAAAAACTGATTCATATTGTATCAAGTATTTGTTTGAATGGAGCACCCCATCCAAGATGCTTTGTTTGCTTATGCTGGTTCACATTTTGTGATTAACTGATAAATAAGTGTGTGTGTGTGTGTGTCTAATGTTCCTCACTGGGTCAAGTTCACAAGTCTGTCATATGATGTAGATGGTAATGATCACTGTCATTGGCAAAAGGCTGCTGCTATCAGGTGTACTACTCATTTGCAATATTTATTTTATAAAATTTATATACTGCTTGATTATAAAAAGAACTCTACAAAACTTTAATGTTGTTGTCTTATTGCATGTTATCTCTGGACTGCGGCCTTTGTTTGGACATTCTTTTAGATGAATAATATAACAGTTCCATTGTGCATATGTTGCTACATGCGTATGTGTGCGTGTATACACACACACACACACACACACACGGGGAGAGAGCAAGAGAGAGATTTGTAGGTTTAGGTATATAGACCTTTTAATGTTTGAAGAACACAAGGCAAGCCTGCTGGACCAAGCCAATGCTCCATCTAGCCCAACATCCTGTTCTCACAGTGGCCAGGAGATGCCTGTGGAAAGCCTGCAAGCTGGGCATGAGCGCAAAGCACTTTGCCTACCTGCGACTCCCAGAAGATTCAGAAGTTGCTATATAAGTACATATCCATGGGAGGTTTGGAGGGTGGCAATATCAGATTGGGCCTTTTCAGTGGTGGCCCCTAAGTTGTGGAGGGCACTCTCCCCAGAGAGGAATGACTGGGACTATCCATATCAATTTTTGGGTGCCAGGCAAAACTTTTCTCTTCAGCTGGGCTCTTGGCTCTTAATCCAAAGGATAGCCTCTGTCCTGATCTGTTTTTTCTGTGTTTTTAAATGCTTGTTGGATGTCCTTAAGTGGTTGGGTCACCTTGTGAAAAAAGCAAATAACAAATACAATAAATAAACAAATATGGGAGAGAAACTGGAATAATAATTAATGATAATTTATTAATCCCCCGCCCATCTGGCTGGGTTTCCCCAGCCATTCTATATGAACAAATAAATTTATATCCTGCAATAATATTGCTTATGCTGTATTGTGGATCTTACGTAAAGACAAGAGTGAATGATAAGGCAACTCCACAAATGAATGTTCAACAATGCCTGAACAGGGTGTGGTGTTTAGCCATAATTTGGCTAAAATTGGGTGAGTCAAGGGATGGGGTTTATGGATCTTATTAGTGACCCTCTTAATCCCCCCTCTACATCATTTGGCCACTGTTCCCACTGTTCAAAATCTTAAAGGGGGTCTGCTAGAGTCCCTATTTTATATTTGAGTACTGAGAGAGAGTTTTACCAGGGACAGATGTCAGAACATAAGGTATTTTCCCCGTAAATACAGTAAGGGATAATTGGAATATGCAAGATTTGTATTTTTACTCACTACCTCCATCTTGTTAGGCTTCCCATTTCAATGAAAAATCATTCCCTTCAGCCTTTCTTCATTGTCTTAGATTCCCGAGCAGTAAATATGCATGCACCAAAGTACGAAACTGCTACCTAGCCACTTAGGACTGCCTAGAAGTGAAGCCTGCTTATAATTATCTGCTGTGCATGAAGTGTTGTTTTCTTTAAAAAGTTTGCTGAAGTCACTTGTTGCATACAACCCACAATGTAGAACTTTGTCTATGGAACCGAGGTCTCAGACAATGTCTGTTTCGGGTATCAACAGAAAGCATGGTAGATTAATTATTTGGCTTTCCATCTTTAGCTTAATTTCAAGTGTAAAGGAGCATATTATACATTCCTGGCCCAACACTGGTTCTACTATCCATCCCAGAAATCCAAAAGGGAGAACTAATACGTAGAAATTTAATTATCTTCTTGCTGACAGCAGCTCTATCAGAGGTGGCATGCCATTGGAAAACAGCTGATTTCGTTGTCAAAGATTGGTCTGCCTGTGTCTGGCAATTAGTGCTGCCTAACAAAATTATGCAGTATTGCAGGTTGTGGGTTGGCATCAACCAGCCTCATTCTGGGTTTCCAATCTGTGAGTGCTGGATTGCAGCATGACCCAAGGATTGAATCAATCCTCTTTGATCTTGTTGACTGGAGCTGATGATAGTCCAACAACATCTGGAGGGTCATAGATTCCCCCGTATCTGCTGCAAAGTCATGGTGATATCGAGTGGACAAATGAGAAGCCATGAATGCACCTTCCTAATAAGTCTCTCCTGCATGTTTCCAACCCACCACTTCCTTTCCCACTTTATGACGGTTGCAGAGCCAAAACCAATGCGCTCCAAGCAAACACCTCTGCTGGTTAGTGTGAATTAATCCTAAATGAACCAGCAAGTGATTACAAACCAATACTATTGTGCATATCAGAACACTCTAGAAGCATTTTTTCATTTAAACGAACACCTCATTCTTCAATGCAAATAAAATAAAACAAACAAACCCATTCAAAAAGCCAAGCATTCTTATCCCCAAAAGTATTTTAAAAACCCTCTGCTATTGCATCTTACTTCCTGACTTTGAAGCATAAAAGATTCATCTTCAAAGGGTAAACAGCAGGGAGTCATAAGAATGCTTTGAAAATGTGGTGGTTTATTAAACTCTGACCTGTATCATATTTGTATTGAAATATGTTAATTTTCTTTTCAAGTTTTAAACAACTTGGCCTTTTTCACTGTTGCATATATTTCCCACAGTATATAAATTTGTTCATACTGTCAATATGAATAATTTGAAGGTTCACTGATTACCACCAATATTTATTTGGGTATCTGATCAGGATTAATTAATATTGACAATTGAAGGAAAGAGTACATGGTCACTGCTCTTTTGCAGAAGTATTTCTCTGCAAACTTGCTGATTTTCTCCAAAGCTGCAGAAAGATATGTTAAATCAATTCTCTTTTAGACAGTACTGTTTCTGAGATAACTAACACTTCGTTCTTATAAGATAACCCCACTGCAGCTACAGAAAGTCTCAATACTTTCCAGTGATTTTGGTGTGCTTGAGGTTTTTCTGTTTCATTCCCCTTTGTTTGGAGGCATAGTAATGGTTAGTATCGTGTCCTTTCTACTGGTAGAGGCAGCTGTGAGTTTTGTTGTAACATCTGAAATTAGAGGAACTAGGATTTTGACAGGTGCTTGGGGATGGGGAGGTTAATAAATTCTATACGGAATTTTGTGATCCCGATAAAGAGCATTTAAATAATTAGGGTGGGGCAAGGGCTGCTACACTTCAATTCCACTGGTAACCTCAATGCTTGATTATTGCAATGTCCTCTGTTGTGGTGCTACCTTTGGGCCTGGTCTGGGGGTTCCAGCTGTTACAAAATGCTGCAGCTGTTAATGAGGACAGACCATTGCCAGCACATAACTCTGGTACTAAAAAATTTGCACTGGCTGCCAATACACTACCAGGCCAGGTTCAAAGCTCTTGTACTCATTTACAAGAAGAGTTTGGATTTGATATCCCGCCTTTCACTCCCCTTCAGGAATCTCAAAGCGGCTAACAATCTCCTTTCCCTTCCTCCCCCACAACAAACACTCTGTGAGGTGAGTGGAGCTGAGAGACTTCAGAGAAGTGTGACTGGCCCAAGGTTATCCAGCAGCTGCATGTGGAGGAGCGGAGACACGAACCCGGTTCCCCAGATTACGAGACTACCGCTCTTAACCACTACACCACACAATGCCCTGGATACCTCAAGGACTGCCTTATATCCCTGCCCAATCACCAATATCTTTGGAGGGAGTTGCTGTTGGTGGGCCCCCATAGCTTGGATGCATGGCTCACAGGCATTTTAACTGAAGTTTTGCTTTATGATTCTAACTGATTTATTGCATCCCTGTAAACTGCTTAAAGATTACTTTTCCACCTGTCCAGCACTAATACACAGAAGATGCAACTTCTGACATTCCTTCTGCACAACTTTTAAACCTCCACACCTTTCATCGTAGCTCCCGATCATTCCTTGAACATAATAGGCGTCATCTGCTAAAATTTTGCACACGCTGTTGTGACGGCAGGAGGGAAGCTCTTCTCTAGGAAACACCCACAAAGCTGTCTGCACCTTTTGAAGTATCTCTGGGCTACACTCCTTCCTACACATTTCCTAGTGAGCGCATGATGTCGAGTTCAAGGGGGCTTCTTCTTGGTTTGGATCATGCTACAGTACTGCAGGTGAGATGCGGGTGGCGCTGTGGTCTAAACCACAGAGTCTAAGACTTGCTGATCAGAAGGTTGGCGGTTCGAATCCCTGTGACGGGGTGAGCTCCCGTTGCTCGGTCCCAGCTCCTGCCAACCTAGCAGTTCGAAAGCATGTCAAAGTGCAAGTAGATAAATAGGTACTGCTCCGGCGGGAAGGTAAACGGAGTTTCCGTGCGCTGCTCTGGTTCGCCAGAAGTGGCTTAGTCATGCTGGCCACATGACCCGGAAGCTGTAGGCCGGCTCCCTCAGCCAATAAAGCGAGATGAGCGCCGCAACCCCAGAATCGGCCACAACTGGACCTAATGGTCAGGGGTCCCTTTACCTTTAATCCTTTGAAAGAGATTAGTCTTCTTTCCTACAAAGAGTCGGTCACGACTGGATCTAATGGTCAGGGGTCCCTTTAGCTTTAACCTTACTTCCATTTAGCTAGGAGCAAGCCTCATTGAAGTCAGTAGGCCCTTTGAGTAATAATTCGTTTTATTATTATTACACTTATCTCCCCTCCAAGGAGCTCAAGGTGGAGAACAACAAGACCCTCCCCCTCTCCGTCACAACAACCTTATGAGGTAGGCTGCGAGACAATGACAGGCTCAAGGTCACCCAGAGGGCTCTATGGCTGTGTCGGGACAAAACACAATAATACAGGCTCGCGCACCGCAGCTTCCGTCTTAGGCGCAATAATGGTTCATAGGATCGCGATGCAAGCCCCTCCCTTGCCCTCTTGCGCGGTTTCCTCTCCGAATTCCTCTTACGACACCGCCTCCGCCTCCCCCCCCAAAAAAAAACCCACTGTGAGGCAACGGGATGCAGGTGACTTATCCCCTCACGCCCTGCTGCCATAGCAACGGGCTCAAAAAACGCGCCAAGCTCCCACGGCGCTCGCGCACAATGCACCCCGCCCCGACCCCTGCTAGTCAGCCCTCTGAGGGCGGAGCCGGAGTAGCTGCGGGCGGCGGAGGAGAGCGGGCGGGGGTGGTCCCGGGCCGCGCGTGCGCGCTGCGGAGAGCGTCGGTTTGTCTGGTTCCTATGACAACGGCGCCGGCTTGGAGGCCTCGGCCGCCGGGGACGAGATGAAGCTGAAGCGGTTCTTGCTAAGATATTACCCGCCGGGTGCGGAATGGGGCAGGGAAGGGCAGGGCAGTGTGTGGGGGGTGAATGTTAAAGTTGGGGAGCGGGGGAATGACGACGGGGAAGCCTTACATGCGGCGGGCAAGCGTGGGCGATGGAAAGGAGGGAATGGTGGAGTCGGGGAAGAAAGGGTTAACGGATATAGATATATACAATGATTGACACACACACACGAGAAACACAAATGTGGAGGGGAAAGAGTCGCAGAGTGGGGGGGGGAGGTTTAATTGAAAGGGTTGAGCCCCGGAACCTATTTGCTCAGCAGGTCTCTTGAATGGAAAAGAAGCTCCGTTGTGTTGTGTCTTCAGTGAGAGCTTGTTCCGTAGTAGGTTTAATACGTTGAACATATTGCATGGAAAGTCGGACTGGCAGTGCTTCTAAAGAAGCAAGCAAGCAAGCAAAATCAATAAGTGAGCACAGGATTGCAGCCTCGACCATGAAATGTGAAATAACAACAACAATGGAAACATAGTTTCTCTGAGGTTGTGCAGAGTGCCTTTTTCTTAACTCTTAAGTAACCATGCCTACTCTTTTGGGGAAACTTGTTTCAAACATGTTCTTGTGCTTTTTAGAAATTACATTAATAGTTAATGGGGAATCAAAGGCAAACGCAGGAAGGGTTTCAAAAAGAAAAGTCACTTGCAAGTGCTCAAAGATGGAACTTACCCCGTTGAAATGCACTTTTGTGTATGAGTCCCCCACACTGAAGATGTACCGGAATAATGCACAATGAGGGCCAGAGTGGTGTCATGGTTAAGAGTGCTAGTTTATTATATCCAGGTGCAAATCCCAACTCAGCCATTAAGCTTTCCAAGTGACTATCTCAGCCCAAACCTACCTTTTAGGGTTGTCGTGGGGATAAGATGAGTAAGAAATCATGTTTGCTGCATTCAGTGTTGTGGAAAAATGATGCAATATAAATGTCATAAATAAAATAACCGGGCCCTATTTGTCTGACCCTGTGACAGCTTCATTTTGTGGTTGCCTAGGATGACATTTAGATGGTTCTGATGGACAGTTATATTGACCACTCTGCTGAAGTCAGTGCAAAGGCTTTTGGCATTTAATAGTTGTGGAGTTTTAACTGAAAGTACCTTATGGTAACCAAGATAACTTTAGCATATGACAGACAGTAGGAACATAAAGTACTCGGCTCATGGTTGTGCACCATGGGTAGATAAAAAGCCATAGCTGCTGTCAGCTGAAATGATTTATTACTTATGAATTGATGTCTGAAGTGACTTGAAGAAAAGCTGCATTCTACTAAATCCCTAGTGTTACAAACATTTGTGTAACGTTGACAATTCAGCCATAAGCCAAATAATGGTATACTGTATATCATACTGTTTCCTATAGGGAACAACAGACTAATACCAAAGTATTAGCCTAATACAGAATCCACAAATTATTTGTAACTGGATTACACACAGAATGCAATAAAGGTAATGTGGCAGTCAGTTTGCTTCTATGTATATCTCAATTGTTATATATATTAGACAGGGTGTAATATTTTGCAGATTCACTTTTATATTTGGAAGATCTCAAACTGGTAAATTAAGTTGGTGAAGTAGCTTCTGCTTTTCTATACTATCAGTTGTTTGGGCTATGATCCTACAGTAATCTGAAAGTATCAGTCTTAGATAAGGCCATGACCATTCACTTAACAGAAATCTTCTAAATAACTTATTTGGATATAACTTGCAATAGAAGCATTAATACTTGCTTTCAGATAAATGCATCTAACACTAAAGTACTAGTTGAGAATTTTATTGATGCATAAACTAGGAAAAAACTACTTAAACTACCTTACACCAATGTGTCTCTGCATTTTTTAATATTAAAAAGGCATCTCTGGACATATTAATTACTCTCAGCATCTTCAGAGTCTTGGCATCTACCCATGGGACTTCTGAAGTAGTACTCAGTTTTGTCTAATGATGGTTTAATCAAGCAGACTATATATTAGGTAGTGGTACAGTATAGTGGCTTAGAGGGTAAGCTTTGAATTCCCAGGTCAATTACTCAGACCAGCAAATAGCCATTTAAAGTGTTTGAGCCTTTGCCATGAACAAACACAAGTGGGCTTATGCAAGCTACTGTAACTCAACTGTAGCAGGAACCACACTGATATTCCTAAAAGAAGCATTTCTGTTTCAGGGGCATCACATATTGAACCACTCAATTTTGTTGCTGGAAAACTGGATTCTTTTACTAACTAGAGCTTCTCCTGTGTTGTGTATAGCTACATGCACATGATTGTATCTGTAACATCATTAGTGACAGTTACAACTATTGTCCCCTATTTTACAAAGCCTTTAAATTTGTTATGTTTCATTCACCTTGGCAAGGTTGGTCTACCTTTTTCTTTAAAAACAAAAACAAAACACTAGCAAAGCTTCCTCCTCCATCTACAGCAGTACTTTTGCTGTTTCCCAGACCGTTTTCCTATTCTCATTTTTTATCTTGTGCCAGAGAATTCCATAAGTTAATGATGTGGTGTTCTATCGGATGATCCACAGTTCTGTATTTATCATGAATAATTACATTGGTTATAAGAGTCAGTAGTTATTTTTTCTATGTGAAGACTAGCTGAAGTTCAAAAGAGCTGCTTCAGTGACTGGGAATCCTTTGCACATAGAGGGACATCTGAGAAGATGTAGGATTGTGTGGGCTTGTACATGGACAGTGGAATTTTGGGCATTTCCCCTTTGAACAGGAAATCCTCAAGCCATATCACAACACCCTTCACATTTGAAAAGCAGCTTGCCATGTGGAATGGGGGTTGCCTTTGAAGACCATAAGTTCAAAGAGACTTTAGCATATGCATCTGGTTTCACAGTTCTTTGGCCCCTGACCTGTGTCTTACCATGTGTCACTACAGAAAATGACAAGATGTCTGCCTGATTCTGCTCCCTTATATGGTTTAAATTAGATGTGTTGCTACTGAAATCAATAGGATTTTTTTATCAAAGGGAAGGTCAGTCTTTGTACTGTGTGCCATCAGAACCTAGCTTGATTCTCAATTAATACTTGTCTTGTTTTGCTTCTTCAAAGGCATTATTTTGGAATATGTTCAAGGTGGGGAAGTGAAAACGAAATCTATAGATTTACTGGATCTCAGTGCTGCGTGAGTATTATATTTTGCTGGATATTGACACAGAACAACTTTACTGATATATACAAATCTGCTAAACAGCTAAGAAATGTATTGCAGTGTTTTTGGTCATATTGAATAAGACAATCATGCTGTCAAATCATCCTCTTCCAAGTACAGTCATTTAAGATTGAGGTGTTAGTGCTAGTGTGTTAGTGATCCTGTCTCCTGTGGCATATCTAGCAATATGGCTGCTACTTTCAATGAAAATTTCATAGGATTGAAAATTCAAGGGTGTGTGGTTTCCATTTAACAACTGCTGAAATTACAGCATTTTTGGAAAAGGCTGTAGCCTTTCATAGAGAAAGTCCCAGGTTTAATCCCTGGTACCTCCGTGTGATGTTGGGAGGGACTCTATCTGAAACTCTGAAAAAACGCTGCCAGTCAACATAGAAAATACTGAGCTAGATGGATGAATGGTCTTACTCAGTGTAAGGCAGCTTCCTATGTTCTAAAACTTAGTATTCCCACAATGGGATATATGTGAGTAACAAATATAAGATGCTTTTCATGCCTTGTAAGAAGATCTCCAGCATTCATAAAGTGTATCTGAATTAGACATATAAAGATATATATTGGCTTTGGTGTTCATATTTGTTGTAAACCTCTCTTGCACACCTCTGCCTTGATTACTTGATGTGCACTGGCAGGAGCATGCAAAAGGCGTCTTTCAAAGCCACAATTAAGACTTGACCTTGGGAGATTACCTGGGCTAAATTGAATATGTCAAAGAAATGTTTCAGAAAACAGACATTGGGTTAGATTTAGATTAATTATGCTGAAGTCCCCTTGAAATAATTGGGATAAGGTTGTCATGATGGCTAGCTTTAAGTCCTATATTTATTTCAGTGGGAATAAAGCATTCAGTGGGACTAAACTTTCCATCTGGATCCAACTCAGCGTCTTATATGTAATATACTTTTGCTAGCATACCTAACAAATGTAGTCCTTGAGCATGTCAGTGACCTGTATGGAAAACATACTGGATAAATTCCATTTGTTCAATGGATGTTATTCCCTAGTGGAACATACATCCTTCACCATTGAGACTATCCATACGGAAATCCTTCACAAACAGAATCTAGTTTTGTAAATTGTTTATTTGTTCCCTGTGATGCTGCTGTGCTTTTAACATACCAAAACCTTTGAGATTATTTTTAGAATATTTGTTTTTTCAGCTTAAAGAGAATTTTAACTCCTTACCTCCCATGACTAACCCTGAGAAACACAATGCCAAAGTAAACTTTTTAAGACTATGTGATATTTTTTGACAAATTAGCATGTTGTTTGAAATTAGAACAAAAAACAGAAATGAGTGCTGTCACTGAGGTTATTCAAATCCAAGCAGCAGAGTAGAGCTGACCACTTGTTTTAAAACCTGCATGAACAAGTAACTAGGAAAGACCTAAACATACAGAATATTCAAAATGAATCACATTCAAGTAGAAAACATTAAAATTGTAAATAAAATGACTGAAAAATGGGAAACCTGTCTTATACTCAAAAGATGCAAGGCCTAACCTAGAAAAAAATGTTTTACAATTGGTGTGGATTATGTTAGTAGCCGACACTGGACTTAGGTATTTCTAGGTGAACTCAGGAATTTCCAGTGGCTGTCTACTTCTTATGTGGGGGGCAAGAAATTTTGTATCTATCTTCCTGACTGATGTGTGCTCTGAGGCTTCTATGACACAGTCCAATCCTCTATGTGTTTATTCAGAAGTAAATCCCATAGAGTTCAATGTAAATGAATGTACATCTGTTTTTATGGAAAGATAAGAAAAATACATCTGTGGAGACCCACAGGTACCCTGCCCCTATTCTGAAGGATAATCTCTGTGGTTGGCACATGGGAAAATATCAAAATAACTCCCCTTCCCCCTTTCATCCTGGTTGATAAAAGCAACAGAAGGCTTCCATTTTCTCTTAACTTCAGGAGATGAAAGTTGTGTTTTAATATCTTTAAACATTATTCTACTTTAGTACAGATGTAGAAGCCTTAGTAGCAGATATAAGAAAAGCAGAACCTCTCATCACAGCATCACGTAAAGACCAGGTTGTACATTTAATACTGCGACTACAAGAGAAGCTCGGACAACAGGTGGACCACAAATTCTATCTTTTTAAGGTAAGAGCCATGAGACAATTTCTGATACTTGCTTTCAGTTATGTAAATACACAGAAACTAGAGGTTTTAAATGGCTGTTGGTTAAACTGTCCTGCTCTCAGGTCATTGTGAGAGCTGGCAGAAATGGAGCCAAAACAGGGTTGCTGAGAAAGGAGGAGATCTCAGCCTGCTTATGCTGCATAAACAGATGTTTGCAGTAGACCCTCACACAATCCAGTGAGCATGCTCAGTAGCCATGGAATGTTATGGGGGGATAATAGAAACTAGGTTGTAGGGATGGAATGGAGTATTCTGGAGGAGGGCAGGGCTAGCTGGCACCCTTTTAAGGATACACAGCAACATTTCATTGCAGGTTTTAGTTTATTTGAATATGGACTCTAAGGATCATGTTTGAGTATACTGAAGCAGCTTATGAGTGAGCATTCTGTTCTGACAACAGATCACATGAATATATTAATTCTCACACAGTTCCAATTCTGTGACTGCAAGTTGTTTTTAACTGTTTTTATTCTTGGATTTTAAATTGTTGCAACCCACCCTGAGACCTGCTGATGAAGGGCAGGTAATACATTTAATAACAACCACAACTCCTGTGGGTGGTGGAATTGGGGGTGTTTTGTCTGTTGTCAGTTTCTGTAGCTTTTTCACAATCTGCAGTAACTTTTTCACAGTGCCAGATGGCAGTGTTGAGTTACCTAACCAGCAAGTTAATTGCTGCTGATTTTCAGAAAGAGGATTTCAGCCAGAGCCTAGCCTCTCCAGGGAGCTCACTCATCACTCCCTTGGTTATCTCTGCTGAAAGAGACTGGCACTGGGAGCTGACCAATACATACAAGTAGTCGAGCATGTTGGAAAATATGTTGCAGTGCTTGATGCACATATCCTTGCTCCATTATGTGGTTAAGTGGCTGATTTACAATCAGCACAGACTCTCAGAATGCCCGTATTTGTATGGGGGGTGGGTGGGAGGGAAATCATAGGAAGACTATATAAAGGGATGGTCTCTATGTAGAATAGCTGTGTGGAAAAAACTTGATTTAAATATGAACCAGAGCTATTACTGATGTCCCTTCCTCATCTGCATTTGATGTCAAAGAGTGTGGATAGATCTCTTAAGAACAGCACACTACCTTCCATCTAGCAGCATGAGGTTTATCTACACATGAGGATCATTGTCTCTTCTAGCGCACCAGCTGACAGACAGTCTGTTGCTGAAATTTGGGGATATGATGGTTTTAAAGAACAGCACAACACTGAACTCAAGCTGTTAGTCAATGTTTGGGAGAGGCTTTCTTTTTTGCTGATTCTTTCATGCCCCCCCTTTTCCCCAAGCATTGAAAAGTGACCTGTATCCTTTGGCTAGCAATATAAGGATGCTTTCTGCTTCTGAACAGGGTGCAGAGTGCAGGGTGGGGTGGGGAATCTGTTGCGAAGGTTGAGCTGCTCCATGTTGCAGACCAGTAAAAAGCTGTTTGTGGAAAGACAGCAGTGAGTTTGACTGTTGATGAAAATATGTCAAATTAGGTACACTCACAAAACATCTCATGCATGCTTGAGAATATGTTCTGTCTTTCTACCCAGATCAACAGATCCAATGTTGGTGCAATCTGCTCTTGATAATATGTATAAGGAAGCGGTGTCTCCCACATTCTCTCACTATTTGTACTCGACTTTAAGAGTTTTTAAATGCTTTCACACAGTTGGCCTAGAAATAGTTTATCTTTCTAGTCATTGTCTTAACACCAGCTTCTTGAATACTGGTTTATTTTTATTTTTGAAAAGGTGATTACACTAATGTAATGTCATTGCAGTGCTCCACACTTTCACATTGTTAAATTGACTGCTATTTTGTTATTTTAAAAAAAAAAGTTGAACTTGGCTGGTTCATGACCCCACAGACAGGCTACTTCATAATTCCAAATCTATATCCCCTTCTTTTGTTTTGTCAGGATGGTTCAAAGTCAGGCGTTGTAGATAAATCTTTTAAGAGTTATACAGTACCTTCCACTAATTCACCTAGAGGCATGGATCCAGTTCTGACAGTTGAGCTTTGAATATCTGAGATTGTAATAGTATTGGGAGAAGGAATAATGGATATGTACCTGTATAGTTAGGGACGCGGGTGGCGCTGTGGGTAAAAGCCTCAGCGCCAAGGACTTGCCGATCACATGGTCGGCGGTTCGAATCCCCGCGCCGGGGTGCGCTCCCGTTGCTCGGTCCCAGCGCCTGCCAACCTAGCAGTTCGAAAGCACCCTCGGGTGCAAGTAGATAAATAGGGACCGCTTACTAGCGGGAAGGTAAACGGCATTTCCGTGTGTGGATCTGGCTCGCCAGAGCAGCTTCGTCACGCTGGCCACGTGACCCGGAAGTGTCTGCGGACAGCGCTGGCTCCCGGCCTCTAGAGTGAGTTGAGCGCACAACCCTAGAGTCTGTCAAGACTGGCCCGTACGGGCAGGGGTACCTTACTTACCTTTACCTGTATAGTTAATTACTCAAAGATTTGTTACAAGAAAGTTACAGACAAAACTGACTTTACCTGAATTGTGACAAAGCAGGGATGAGGAATCCAGAGCCATCAATGCGCTTCTTTCCATGCTACATTCTAGCCATGCAGTAACAACAGGTTTCACATACATCTGTTAATCCTTCACCCAGGCAGACAAGTAACATTATCTCAGTGAGGCAAAGCACTCAAGGAGGCTACAGACGAGCGCTGTTGATCAGGGGAAGGGGTGAGGCCTGCTGAGAGTCCTGAGGGTGAGATAGAAAGATCTGGAGGGCTGCATTTGGCCCCCAAGGTCTGAGTGTTCCCATCCTTGTAATAAAGAGTGCTGCTGATAGTGATTTTCTTGTGCAGTAATAAGAACTGCACAAATCTATTGAGCGTGAAGAATAATTAGGGGTATGCAGAGTATAATTGGAAAGAGGACTAGTGTTGCATTTCCACTTCATAGCACATTGCAGTTGCCAGCAACACCTCCTAAATGAAGACACAGAATTGGTGTAAACCTATACCTTTCTTTGCAGTTTCCTGGGTGATAAAGGTTTTTTTTGTTGTTGGTGGTGTTCCCAGCATAGTAGCAAGCTGTCGTAACATAACTTAATAGGGGTTTGAATGTGTCATGGATACAACACGCTGCTATAGCATAAGGTTTTAACCCAAATGGGCCCAGTCTCGCCAAAGCCCCGCTGAGTTCAATAGGAAAAGTAAATGTATCCTTAAAACAACACTACTGAGATTAATGTGACTTAAAAGTGCTTAACTTTAGTTTAGCCGTTCCCATTGATTAAAATAATATTTAAGTATTTAGATTTGTGAAGGCAAATACCTAGGAATGTAAAGAAAATTATATTACCTTTATTTTCTAATTTCAGGTACTCCGGGCTCATATATTGCCACTGACTAATGTTGCCTTTAACAAATCAGGTTCTTGGTAAGTTTGGGTGTTTAAATTCAAACTATGCATGATCTACCAAGGCTTATTTAAATATAAACTGAATACTGTATAATATTTTACGGTCTATAATTTCCTCTGCTGAGATTCTGGTTCAAAAAAGGGTTATTAAGATAATTAGTAGGATTGGAAATGCCAAAATCCAACATATTTAGTTAACAATTCTTATTTTGTAAAAGAAAATACAGCAAAATGACAGTGGAAAATGTAAGATATCTCTTGTTTTGCCTCCCTCTCCTTTTATTAAATCCCCAGTTGTTCTCCTTATACTCTTCTTGCCTGGTCTTTGATCCTTCATCAAATCAACTGAGAAAAGTAAAAGGGGATGAGGAGCAGGGGAAATACGTAAATTACAACAACAACCCAACATGTTTTTAAAAATATCATTAATTGAGAGGAACTTAGAAGCAGTAGAGTCAATTCACAAGAAGTTGTATTTTTTCTGATCCCTCTGACATGTTTTAGCAATGTAGTCAGCAGTGGCTTAAATTGTGGGGTGAGGAATAGGGAAGAAATGTTTCTTAAACCTTCCATTCTTCTTGTCTGCTCTAGTTTTATCACTGGAAGCTATGACAGAACATGCAAACTTTGGGACACTGCTTCAGGAGAAGAGTTACGTTCTCTGGAAGGACATAGGAATGTGGTCTATGCAATTGCTTTCAATAATCCGTATGGGTATGCAACTTTTCAGAATCTTTGATCTTTAAAGCCCTAGATGGCCTCAGCACATTATTTCTTTCGTACTCTACATCCAAATCATTTAAATTTTTCTCTGTAAATCGTTTTTTACTTTCCCCTTGTACTCTGTTTCATTCTTTAAAATTTAGTGACAAGATTGCGACTGGATCATTTGACAAGACCTGCAAATTATGGAGTGTAGACACAGGAAAGTGCTATTACACCTTTAGGGGACACACAGCAGAAATAGTGAGTACAGGAGCTTTGGAATTATCATCACTATATATGGAATAATCTAATCCTTAAAAAGTTAAGTGTTGTTTTCTCTGTTATTCTCAGTGAAACTATGCTAACAAGTACCACAATACATGCTACTATTCTTAAAAAAATCTGGCATGAAAATTTGTACCTACTTAAGTGAAGATATGATTTGGGACATGGGTGGCGCTGTGGGTTAAACCACAGAGCCTAGGACTTGCCGATCAGAAGGTTGGCAGTTCGAATCCCCGCGACGGGGTGAGCTCCCGTTGCTCGGTCCCTGCTTCTGCCAACCTAGCAGTTCGAAAGCACCTCAAAGTGCAAGTAGATAAATAGGTACCGCTCCGGCGGGAAGGTAAATGGCGTTTCCGTGTGCTGCTCTGCATGCTGGCCACATGACCCAGAAGCTGTACGCCGGCTCCTTCGGCCAATAAAGCGAGATGAGTTCCGCAACCCCAGAGTCGGTCACGACTGGACCTAATGGTTAGGGGTCCCTTTACCTTTTAAGTGAAGATATGGAGCAGTGGTAGCTCCATGTTTGCTGTAGCATATTTTTCCTATTCTGTGGAATTATCATTACAATGGGCTGCTTTATTACCGTAATTAAAATGGACATTCACCCTCCACATGGTCTAATTGTGAGAGTAAAATTCCTTCCTGTACCCCAAGGAAAATATTCCAAGCAATCAAATGAGTGAATGTTTATTATCAGCTATGATCCTATGGCTGTCATGTTTTATTTTACAGGCCTATAAACAGTAAATGGGGCAATGACTAGAAACAGTTACTGTCACGCTCTAACATATTGTGACTGACCAGTACCTAGGAGAACAGAAAATCCAAGAATTTCTTATAAGGGTTTTCCTTCTCTCTCTTTTTCTAACAGGTTTGCTTGTCATTTAATCTTCAAAGTACTTTGGTTGCTACTGGAAGTATGGATACAACAGCTAAATTATGGGACATACAGACTGGAGAAGAAGTAGTCAGATTAACAGTGGGTTGCAGCTCTTATTAGTGATGACTTGGTGTTTTTTTGAAAGTGCTATTAAAAGAGCAGTTCTTAATTAAAAGAGCAGTTCTTAATTATCATTTGCAAAAGTCAGAGACGAGAATTTATTCAGAACTCTTAGCATATGTAGCTAAATAATGCATTAAGCAAACATAAAGGAAGACTGAAAGCTGTGATACTAATTAAAAACCATTAAATCTTAAGTGCAGAGCAATCCTATGCATATTTATTTGGAAAACCTACTGTGTTCCGTGGGGCTCCCTCCCAGCTAAGTGTAAATAGGATTGCAGCCTAAATAACATACTTTTTTCCAAATTCTGTGGCTTTACTACTACAAGGTAGAATGACCTGCTTTATTAATTAAAATGGACTGGTAATATTCTTTGAAACCTCTCCTGCAGTCAAAAGCACTGTATAATTGCTTTCAGATCTATTACCTGGGATTACAAATAAAGGGGTTATAATATGCCCTGTAAGATTGAAGAGAGCTCTCTTAATAATATCACAAATACATGTAGACAGGTATTGCTATTGGCTTCACACTTTTTAAAAATCTGCCCAAACTTTGGATGATGGTATAATTCTATCCCTGCAAGATGCTCAATTTTTAAAATTTCATTTTTCTTCTGCCTTTCCTCCAAGGAGATCAGGGAAATATTTAAAAATATATAACAACTTTGTAAGGTAGGCTAGTGTTGAGAGACAGTAACTGACCCAGGGTCACTGAATGAGATTCATGATTTGAATGTGATGATTTGAACCCAGATATCAGTGTTATTTAATTAACCTTCCCACAAAGAAATCAGAATGAATGCTCAGTATAATAGCTGACTGTCTAACCTCCATGAAAGCAACTGAGACTGAATGCTCAATAAGCGGGTTGTCTAGAAGTGACCCAGGACCTTACATTACATGATACTTTGCCCATCCAGACTGGGATTTTCTATGTTCTTTTTTGAATCTTTGGGGGGGGGGAGTTTTTTTTGAATAAAACAAAGTTTGTATGTTTACAGACAACTGGAATGATTTTTTTCAGGATTGCGTTCCATAAAATAATAGTAACAAAGAAAACAAAACACAGAACCAATAAAGTTTGTACATCTTTATAAATCCTAGATCAGGCATAGGCAAACTCAGCCCTCCAGAAGTTTTGGGACTACAACTCCTATCATCCCTAGCTAACGGGACCAGTGGTCAGAGATGATGGGAGTTGTAGTCCCAAAACATCTGGAGGGTCGAGTTTGTCTATGCCTGTCCTAGATTATTTCTACATAAAAATCTTTGTTTAAACTTTAAACCTTCTTTTTATAACTTTAGGGGCACTCTGCAGAGATTATTGCATTATCATTTAATACTACAGGAGACAGAATCATCACTGGTTCCTTTGACCATACAGTTGCAGTGTGGGATGTTGGCACGGGCAGGTACTATTTTAAATCTTGTTTTATTTCATGTTTTACAGAACTCTTAAAATAATTCTATACAGGCTCTCGAGTTGTTCAAATTATAAATCTGCCTTTATTTGTTCGTATTTAATACATTTCGAGCAACAATAAGCTTCTAGAAACCAGGAAGGTAAAAATTAGGCATATTGCTTCTCTGCGATTCTCCCTAGCAACAGTTCAAAGTTCCATCTGCCAGAAAGCTAAGATAATAGTTCTCTTTGTTGGCAAGTTATGTAGGATATAGCAGAGCAGTGGAGGATATATATTGTGATATTAATCTTAGACCTTTGTTTCATCACCTGGGAGGCTTGCATTGAATAATCATGGCACAAGCTTTCTTATATTGAATTAGACCAATGGTCCATCAAACTCAAATATGACTAGCAAGAGCTATTCAAGGTCTGCAAAGAGACCACCCCTAGCCTTCATGGGAAACTATGGGCCTTTTTGGTATCATGAAACTAATGCATCTGAATAACATTTTGTCAAATTGATACAGTGGAAACATTAAAAGCCTTATGATGATCAGCAATAACTTATATGAGCCCGGAATAACATTCATTCCCCATCTTAAGTTATCGCTGAAGGGTCAATATAATTATAAATACATGATATGAATTAAATAGTGTAATTGGTTTGTGAACATATAATATATAATATATAATATTTTTTTTGAAATTATCACAAGCAAATAGGAATTTTTCCCCCTTCAGAATATTTGCTTTTGTGATGTTTTCATTTGGTGCAACCATTAATTAAGGTGTTTCTATGTTGCTCGGTCCCAGCTCCTGCCAACCTAGCAGTTCGAAAGCACGTCAAAGTGCAAGTAGATAAATACAGTGGTGCCCCGCAAGACGAATGCCTCGCAAGACGAAAAACTCGCTAGACGAAAGGGTTTTCCGTTTTTTGAGTCGTTCCACAAGACGAATTTCCCTATGGGCTTGCTTCGCAAGACGAAACGTCTTGCGAGTTCTTGCGAGTTTGTTTCCTTTTTCTTTAAGCCGCTAATAGCTGCTAAGCTGTTAAGCCGCTAATAGCCGTGCTTTGCAAGACGAAAAAACCGAAAGACGAAGAGACTCGCGGAACGGATTAATTTCGTCTTGCGAGGCACCACTGTAGGTACCGCTCCGGCTGAAAGGTAAACGGCATTTCCGTGTGCTGCTCTGGTTCACCAGAAGAGGCTTAGTCATGCAGGCCACATGACCCGGAAGCTGTCTGTGGACAAACGTCGGCTCTCTCAGCCCGTAAAGCGAGATGAGCACTGCAACCTCAGAGTCATTTGAGACTGGACTTAACCGTCAGGGGTCCCTTTACCCTTTTACCTTTATGTGCAGTCTATGAAGGACCACAAGTTACACGTATTATATAAGGGAACACCCATGAATGGTTGTATAGGTTATAAAGCCCTGAACCATAGGAAACAAATGAATACACATGTTAAAGATTGATTGTGTACACACACAAACACAAAAACACGGATGCATGAGAGAGTGCTATGACTGCAGTGGTATTCATTAATGGTTTCTTGAATTGCAGTGATGACTATTCTGTGACCCCCAAAACACACTGATTTACATTCTCTGAAGTATACACACTCATTAAAGTTTTCTAGGGTTTAACCTATAGAATCTAAAATGGTCATTGACAACTAATTTTCACACTTTCTTCAAAGTGTAATATATATTAGCCTGCCTTCAGTGGGTCAGGTAGATGGAGCTGCCCACCTGTGAATCACTTGGCATCAAAATGATGTCAGGTGAAGCATTTTTCTTTGCCCATGTGGCTTCAAAACTCTCTTTAATTTTTTATATGGAGAACTATATAGCAGCCTATAAAACCAACACCCTAGAGTTCTTTTGTGCTGTAGCAACAGCTTGGCATCTGTCTGTCTCGGAGACAAAGGAGAAGTGTACCTTTGTGGGTAAAGTCAGTTTGTTGGAAGGTTGCAGCGCCTGCTGTAGATGTAGAAACAGGAGAGCCCCATTTTTGTTGCCGCTGGGGCAGATAAAAGCATCTGGTTGTGCTGATGCAGATGCACCACCTCGTTTTTTCTCTCTGCACTCCTCCCAGCAGTCATTCCTCCTCTGCTCACTGCTATGGATACCCAACCTCAGTGTCTGTCTCATCATCTGCAAGGAGTTCCCACACAGCGGAGCTGATGCTCTCATCCTTCATGTCACATTGGAAGACATCTTTGTAACACAGAATTGGTCTGCCAACAGGAGTGAACTATTATTGCCTTGTGACTTTATATGTTCTGCCTGTGTAATTGTCCACTCTTGATTATCTATGAGATAACCAGTAATACTTGAATTAGACTTTTTGACTTGTTTTGCAGCTGAATTGTATCTAAGTTGAAAAATACAATTTCTAAACATGCAGTGGATAGGTGCTAGGGAGTCATAACCAGCTGAGACTCCCGGATGTGTATCTACCATGTGTCCTTGTGTATTATATGGGTACAAATGTGCACTGGATAATTTTCTGATGCTAATTCTAATTATACTAGTTGGCATCAGAAAATTTCTAGTTTGCATTGGAAAATCTTCCGATGCCCTAGAGAGTGATCTAATTTAGCATGCTTATTTTACTTGTGTTTAGTAACCAAATGCAAAGCTTTGAAACTGTCAAGTTTGCCTAATATTGTATTTGCAGTTGGCATCTAATCACTTACAAACATTTTTGTGTGCTTATGTGTGGAAAGTTTAAGCACTGGAAAAATTTCCTTAACAATTTCCACAGAAAATTGTGTTATATCAGAGCTGAGGCTTCTGAAGATTTACATAGACTTGCATGTGTAGGTCAAATTGTAATACAAAGGCTGCAGTCCTATGTATATTTATTTGGGAAGACACCTCATTGAACTGTGACTTTTATTGCTGAGTAGGTGGCACTGTGGGTTAAACCACAGAGCCTAGGACTTGCCGATCAGAAGGTCAGCGGTTCGAATCCCTGTGACGGGGTGAGCTCCCGTTGCTTGGTCCCTGCTCCTGCCAACCTAGCAGTTCGAAAGCACGTCAAAGTGCAAGTAGATAAATAGGTACCACTCCAGCGGGAAGGTAAACGGCGTTTCCGTGCGCTGCTCTGATTCACCAGAAGCGGCTTAGTCATGCTGGCCACATGACCCGGAAGCTGTACTCCGGCTCCCTCGGCCAATAAAGCGAGATGAGCGCTGCAACCCCAGAGTCAATCACGACTGGACCTAATGGTCAGGGGTCCCTTTACCTTTAAGCATGCATAGGATTGCACTGCAAATGATTGGGGAAACATTAAAGATTTAACCTGTAGTATTTTGTCTATTTCTTTTTATAGATGCCCCTTTGCATAATACATTTATATTTGAATCAACCACATAATATGTTTTTTATTCTCTCCTGGCAGGAGGATGCATACTTTAATAGGGCATCGTGCGGAAATAAGTAGTGCACAGTTCAACTGGGACTGCACTCTTATAATCACTGGATCAATGGACAAAACATGCATGGTAAGATAGTTGGATCCCTATTAACCTGATTTATTGCTCTTGGTAGTATACGAAAAATAATCATAGTATTGACTAATCCATACATTTGTAGGTCTGAATCCAGGAATACATTCTTCTTGGCCTGCATGAAGGAGTGTGGGGAAAATTAGCTTTTCCCTCAGAGCAGGTACAGAATAAAGGTGTAGGTTTACTCTTACTTCTCTTTAAAATAATAGACAAAGGGCATGTACACACTGCCTGATAATATGCATTCAGTGCTGGAGGCAGAAAACCAGAATATTTCATTTGGAGCAAAAACAAAATTAGTTAAATGTGATCCACTTTGCCTAAGTAGGATTCCTTGTTCACAAGGAGGCCTTTCTTCCTTGAAGCCTTCCTCTCAAACTCTCCAGAATCTCTGCGTATCACCTGAGATCTGCTTGGTGAACCCACCTCTTGGCTATCCACCTGCTTATATAGCTTCTCCCTGTCTGTTATTTGATCCGTCCAGAGGCTGCAGGAACAAGGAAGCTGGGAGCTTTTAATTTTCCCACCCCTAGAGACAGGTGTGCAGTTAATCACATCAGCAATGGTGGACCCTATGCCTTGATAGTTTATTAGTTTTGGGGCACCAGCTAAGACTCCACATTAACCCTATACTTCCCAAATGAGCAGACAGGTAAAAAGATGCATTCCCATTTTATAGACAAACAGTCCAGGACAGTAAAGGCCAATTCCTTTACACTCCATCTTTCTAAAAAAAAAGGCCCAAAGCTTGTTCCTAGAAATGCCCCGCCAGTTCATTTGCAATATCACACTTCAAAAGAAAGAAATACAGAAAATAAGAGGGACACTATAGGCTAGCCTGGTTTAGGGAAGAAACACCAACATTTATTGACTTCTGGGGAGTTCTTTTCTTTTTTATTTTATTTTCTAGCCTTTATTAGCATAAGAGTTGAATCTGTGAATAAGCTGCTAGCATGGAAATCAATTCCAGGAGATATCTGGCTTGTGCTGGTAACATATCAAGCAAAATATTTGTTAACCTTGCTTTCTGCCAAATCTGTGTGCTCATACGAAAGAACAAATAGTGATTGACTAGCTACACAGGCCGCAGGCAGTTCAGTCAAATAAATAAAGAAGCTGATTTGGGTTCCCTGTCATTATTTGCCTGCAATTTTGCTTTCTGTCCACATTGCAGTTGTGGAACGCACTGACTGGCAAGCGTGTGGCAACATTAACAGGCCACGATGATGAAGTATTAGACGTTTGCTTTGATTACACTGGCCAGCGTATTGCAACTGCCTCAGCTGATGGTAGGTGAAATTGATTTTTTTTATTAAAATGTCTTCATCCCGTGTCAGCTGATTTGAAGAGCATTTCTTGAGGGGTAACATGGCGACTCCCAGTAGCTCCTTCTGTGCATCATGGATGACTCCACATGAGGGCAAAGAAAGAATCCTCTAAGAGAGGAACTCTGGTGAGGTGAATGCATGTTCTGGAAACTGGCTAAGTTTTCTAATACAGCCAATCTTGTGGAAAACCTCCATAATAGCACCAAGGAACGATTATATCCATATAGTGAGCCATTTTTTATGTGTTATGTGATGTGCTCTTTGGCAGCTTTCTGACAGGGCTGTGATATTTAACTCAGTCTTCTGCCCCAAGCTATCTCATATATCGGATCAGTCTAACGAGTCTAGAAGCTTCCAAACCATTTCCGTATGAGTGCCGCCTTCTCATAAGGCCATGCAATTTTAACCTGCTTTCAGTGGCCACCACAGAACATCAAAAGTTTATGGTGAAAGAGTATGCATGGCAACTGTAAGTACTCCCATATAGGGATTGGGACAAATTCAATTCAGTTTACATTTCAAGGCAAACCCACCAAATTTGTACTTTCCCAAACAATACAAGAATGTAAACACAACCATCTTTCAAAATTTGAACTCTGAATTTTGCAGTGCAGCTGTCCAACCAAAAATGCATATACTAAAGTGTACATATAAAAACATATTTTGTTGAAAATAATATTACATTATATTAGTGAATTTTTTTTGCAAAAATGCATTATATTAGGGAAATCGTATACAAAAATGTGTATATTAGGATATATTTGAAAAGGCTGATGAATTTTCATGAGAACTTTAAAAAAATCTGCCAACTGATACTGAAACATTGAGAACTGTACTTAAGATTTGAAAAATGAGAAACTTAAGGGAAACCAAAATTGACAGATTCACCCATCCCTTCTCTAAATCAGTGGGCTTTGAGTTGCAGCCAGTCATTTCTAACATTTGCCTTCTCTGGTTCCTGACAAAATTGCAGATGTATTTAAGCACAACAGGTAAATGCCTATACTAAACACATGATTGTTTGTTTGTTTTCTACTTAAGGATCAGCAAGAGTTTATGATGCAGAAACAAAAAAATGTATATCAAAACTTGAAGGCCATGGAGGAGAAATTTCAAAGGTGACTGTTGTTTTATTTCTCTGTACTGCTGCCCTGAGTAGAATGTTGTTCTAAATTACAGTTAGCTTTGGCCATTTTGCTTGTTTGTATGATCTCTCGCTTCTTGAGTATGGACCAGGAAAGCAACTTCTCTCCCTTGCTGTTTTTTATAGTGCTTTATCACTTTATGTCTCCAGTGTGTTAGGAAAGTACAGAGGTTAGTATTCTGTTATAAAAGCTGCTAATTGAAAAACATTATTCTTGCAGTTTGAGTGAACAATCCTGCAAGTACATACCACTGACCAGTGGGACTTACTCCTGAATAACTGGAGGTGGGATGTCAGCCTTTGAGATTTATGTGAGATTTTTGAGGGCATTCAGGTTATCTATTAACTTGAATAGAAAGATTTTTTGGTGAAAATGGGCGATACTCTACTGCTACCCTCCTATCCTATAATTTTAAGTACAGTAACATTAAATAAGGGGGACGCGGGTGGCGCTGTGGGTAAAAGCCTCAGCGCCTAGGGCTTGCCGATCGAAAGGTCGGCGGTTCGAATCCCCGCAGTGGGGTGTGCTCCCGTTGTTCAGTCCCAGCGCCTGCCAACCTAGCAGTTCGAAAGCACTCCCGGGTGCAAGTAGATAAATAGGGACTGCTTACTAGCGGGAAGGTAAACTGCGTTTCTGTGTGCGGCTCTGGCTCCCCAGAGCAGCGATGTCACGCTGGCCACGCGACCCGGAAGTGTCTCCGGACAGCGCTGGCCCCCGGCCTCTTGAGTGAGATGGGCGCACAACCCTAGAGTCTGTCAAGACTGGCCCGTACGGGCAGGGGTACCTTTACCTTTACCTTTTAACATTAAATAAGACTGTATCTCTGTGTTGGGCTTTTCCAGCTGCAATATTTAGTGTGGTTTTTCATGCATGTTTCATATGGTAATGTGTGCATGATAAGAAAGCTACAGTCTAAACTACACCTCTCTTACATCCTTGGATGATGCACCTTTATAGTAACCAGAAGCAACAGAATGTAGGCCTACTTTTAATAGTGCTTTAAAAAGGGAATTTGGGCAGCACAGGAAGGTCAGCTTTTAAATTATCTATATTATATATGGTGAACAGAATCTTTCCTCAGGCCAGTTTAACCTTGAAGGTAAAAAAAATTGAGAATATTTGCATAAATGTATATATATGTTAGAGACAGATGCTTAGGTTGTTCTTAAATCCATACTGCATGAGCAAGACGAAGGCAGCCCATACATATGTTTCCTGATTTATGGCAGTGTTGTTGGCTAGATACTCTGTTTTGTCATTTAATTTTTGGAGAGCAGTGACAGGTTCAGTATCTGTTTGGATGATTAAAGGAAATATTAGTGTCTGTGTGATGAAATTTGGCAGCACTGTGATATGATGAATCTAATATAGCAAGGATAAAATTGTATTTGCAGATTAAAATTTCCAATTTCTTTTTTAGTTCCAAAAGCTTAAAGAGTAGTAGTAATTATAGTTATTTTACATAAAATAAATAAACATTGTAGATTCAATAAGAAAGGAAGAATTGCTACTGATTCTATAACTTTTTTAAAAAGCAGAAAGCTATTCAAACAGAATACAAAACGGTTTCCATATAAGGTTTTGGAATGCCTGTCTTTGGATTTTGCTTCCTTCTTTTTAAATTATTTTTATGAGTTTCCTAAGGAAATAACAGTTCTACATCCCACAATTTTATATGTACTTCATTAATGTTTCCCATTTGCTGTGCACATATGAAATGACAAATGTCACGATTCAGCTATCAGATGTGCCCCTAAGTTGAGAGGTAGAAATAGGTAAAGGTTAAAGGACTGCTCTCAAGAATCGGTTTATGTGGCTCATGAATCTATGCACTAAAGAGATGCACTAAGGCCTTTGGAGGCCTGCAAGGAACCTCCAGGGTAACATTTAGGTTTAAACTGACCTATTTGGTAAAGGAGAGAGAAGGGCAGAAATTATTGAATAAAGGTGCAGGCGGATGAGAAAGAATTTTAAATTTTTGGAATGTTGATTTCAAACATGAGGCTAGTCGCTAATTGAATATTAACGTCACAATTATATTTGGCTACTGAACTCCTCATTGCATATGTGACTAGTTAACTGTAATTCATTATTCTCTCCATTGCTCACCTGGTGCCTTCACTGCATATCTTTAGGCTCCAAGCAAAATGTTTCTCTATAACCAGACCTTTGGCTGAATATTCTATGGCCTTTTAAATGTGTTTATGGGAGGGGGCCTATTGGTTTGTTTCTGTTTCTGTTTTTATCATGTATTTTGTGTTTTCATCTAGTATTTTTGTGTTGTGAACTGTCCTGTGATTTTCAGATGAAGGGCGGAATACAAATTTGACAAATAAATCCTAAATAATCCCAGAGTTATTATCTTGAGGTGGCAATTCCTTCCTACCTGAGCAAGCTCCTGGATCACTTTAAGTCATTGTGCTGGCTTGTGGAACTGAGAATAACAATAGCAATTCTGCTATTGTTTCCTTGGGAATGTTTCATAAGTTACTATTTAGTTCTCAGAAATGGAACCGCAAAAATATAATATGGTACAGCAAGTGTTATAATTTTTGAAAGGCTCGTGTTTAGCATTAAAAACCACAATTTATTCACAGAAGCCACCCATGATTGAGCAACTTTGTGAATATTTGTCTACTTGGAATCAAGTACTTCACAGTATTTCACAGGATAAAGTATTTCACAGGATAATGTGTGACATGACCCTTGTTTTAAGATGAAAGTCAGAAAAGCTCCTTGCTTTGGAGGGTTTATTATTGATCAGCCCACTCCAGCCTCTGAATCTACCCATGTAGATAGAAATTGGAAGACAAAATCTATTCAGGGGCTGTTGTCCCAGACTTCAAACCTGTGTGAACCATGGTGGGCAAATTTAAGATAAGTAATGCCACTTCCTTGCCTCTTTAAAAAATAATTCTCGTTTCTTTGTTTTTAAAAGATCTGTTTCAATCCTCAAGGCAGTCGCATTCTTACAGCCAGCTCAGATAAGACAGCTCGACTTTGGGAGCCTCAGACAGGACAATGCATTCAAATACTAGAAGGCCACACTGATGAAATATTTTCGTGTGCTTTCAATTACAAGGGCAATATAATCATTACAGGTAACTAATAGCTATATTGAAAATTGTCCTTCTACTTGTTTACGCTAAAGTGATGTCAAATAAGGGCATTTTCCTGGTTTCTGTTGTCATGCCTCATTCAGTCCAATTCCGTTGAAAACTTGGATCAAACAGTTATTTCTGTGGCATATTGCTTTTCCACACTAGTTGAATTGTTTCAAAACGGTGTACTAGCCTAGAGAAGTTGGGTTAAGTAAGTAGGGTGGGGTGGGGGAACGGGACAGCCATTGAACAACAAGTTTCAACAAATAGATATGGCTCCACTTTTTAAACTTTTCACTGGGAGGATGCATTAAGGCAACATGCAAATTTGAACAGCTAAATACATTTTCCTGTGCTATATACATTTTATTTGCTAGTATCTCATTGATTCTGGTGGTGCTTTCCTCTTTCATTAGCGGAGGTGTTTTTCCAACATTGCAATAAGAGGGAAATGGGGGCATAGCAGCATTACTAAGGCAATTGTAATCCTAGAGCCAAATTTAAGACGCCTTTTCTACAGCATTTCAACACAACTAGTTTAGAATATGTACAAAAGTTAGGTTGGCAATTCTTAGATGGTGGCCTCGCATTCACCGGAAGATACTGGTATCTGTAGGTTGCAATCTGTGTTGGCACCTTTTTCCTGATAGAAGCTCTATGCCTTTAACAACAACATTGCAGACAAATATTCATGGGATGCACAGAGATTTAGTGATGAGAAAAGGTGTACCTTTTGAATGTATGCCTGTTGGGTTCCTGTTAAAAGCCCAGAACACTTGAAACTGCCGTATGCTCAGTAGTTCTGTCTTTTCTAAAACTAAGTGCCTCTCCAAGATCTCAAGCATGGAAATTTCTCAGCCTTCCTACCTGAGAATTTTTTTTGATCTAGAGATATTTGGGCTTCAACTTGGGACATTCTATATACAAAGCATGTGTTCTATTACTGTGCAGTTGGCTCAAAGTGTCGTTTGCTAGACACTTAATTCATTCAACTGCATCAGAGTTGGAAGACAAGATTGCCAATGAATTTGAGAGCGAGGGGTGTATTTGAAATATCTCCTGCCCCAAATAACAGGAAGCTGTAGTTTTATATTATAGATATATGAATGACGTTTGAAATGTTAATCTATTACTTTTCTTTCTAGGTAGCAAGGATAATACATGTAGGATATGGCGCTAATTGAGGACAATCTCTGACCCGACTTCCCAGAGGCTTTTGTATGAGGAGCTTCTTATTATACAGGCAATAACTACTAAGCCCTTCAAAAACCTGTTTTCTGTTTTTGCCTTTTTAAAAATGTTACTGAAGAAGACTTATTTCTTGGACTCATGAAATTAGCAATGTTAGCTAGTTATGTGATAGGTTCTACTCTAATAGCATTGATATAAGTGTTAGTGACTTAGTTGCGACAAGTGGCATTGTTTTCTTTGTAATGGTTTTTAGGCCAGTTGGGGGGGGGATGGGAGGGGGGAGCACCGTGATCTTATTAGCAATGCATTGCCTTACTTGAATGCCTCTCACATTTGGTTGGATAATTTTTACTATACTTAATTTTTATTTAATAAAAATATTTAAAACACTATAAAAGTCCAGCTTTTTATGTAGTATTAACAGTTGAGCATATATTAAAACTGTCTATTCAAGTATTGCCTGAAACCTCTGGATTATAAAAAAATTATAAATCTGCCATATAGCTCTATATTTACTCATCAAATTAAAAAAAAACTTATTACATATTGGATTTATAGTCTCTTCCATCTTGAAGCCTTAGAGTGACCAACAAAATATATTAAAAAACCGTATCTGAAATGCAGTATTAAGCTTCAGCGTAAATCACTTAGTTCCTAAACTTCAGGCCACACACTACGAAGCAGCATAATGGATGGTAGTGGGTATGCACCAAACATTTGGTAAATGTTTTTCTCAACTGCTACAAAGGATGCTTCACTTTTAACCTTTTCCTTTGTGCTATATGAATAAAAATATTATATATTATCTAGGTTCTGGAGTGTAAAACACTGCATGGGTTCATGCATTTAGCTTGGGAGTGGTACTACTGTGTCATGGTAGGGAAGTTGCAGAAGTCCTACCCCTCCCTTGTGAACTGAGTGCCCAATCTCAAAGAAGCCTGGCTCTTGGGATCTGCCGCTTTGAGCAGGAATAATTACATGAAAATTGGGCCTCAATAAAAGGTCTGTCTGGCCCACACTGGAGAAGTAGCTTGCACCATAGAGAAGAGGGGCTCACACCTTTTTAATCAAGCCTTTGCGAATGTATGAACCATGATTTGTTGATGTGTAGTTCACAGCTTTTCATCCTGTCGTTTCACATCCATTTTCTTTTTTCCTCCAATCCCGTTTGTCCTCTTAATTGCAGTGAGTGATTAAAGTGATTTGCCTCAGCATGTGTGTATACCTGAATATCCAGATGCTGCCTTGGTACTGGCATGAAATCTAGCTTCCAAGTGTTTTTGAATTCCTAGTGTCCTCACTATGAGAGCCTATTTGCTGTGCTGCCCTGAAAATGTCAACTGAACTGAAATATAATCTAGCCTGATTTCCCTGTTCAGCTTTATCCTAAGGAGTCTCTGATATTATGCATGGTTTACCTCCTATGAAGGCTGCGGAAGTGCTAGGTGTGATCTGCTATGAAGCAAAGCACTGGTATTTGCTACAGAGCAATGCACAATACCTCTAGGCTCTGGAAAGTGTAGCTTTGTTTTTCAGAAATACGGGAAGATACTTTTCTCGAGAAAGAAAACTTTTGTTGCAGACTTCACAATATTTTGAAGCTATTGGCATTTACAGTTGTCAGGGGCTCAGGGAGAGAGCCACAGGGGAAAGAGGAGATGGAGAGCGAAGAGGAAGGATCTGAGGGAAGCATAGGAGGGTATGAGAGTGACCAGGGAGATTCCATGAGCCTCTCCAGCGAATCAGAAGATTCCCAGAAGGAAGCGCCCAGGGTCAGGGCAAGGGGGGCCAGCGGAGAGGCTCAAAGCGGCAGCTGGAGATCAGGGCCAACTTCCCCACCAGAGCGTAGCGGGGGGGAAGAAGCCCACAGATCAGGACCAGCGGGGAGGGAGAGTGAGTCAGGACTGACCACGCCTCCGTCGGGGAGTGGAGGAGCGGAGGGGAGGTCAGTTCCAGCCAGCCCCCCCGAAGGGGGAAGCAGTGACAGGAGCAGTGTAGCCGTTAGGAGGAAAGTGGGAGGCTGGGCGCGCGCGCCAAGTTCAAATGTGCAGGCGCGCGGGACAGCAGAAAATCCGGATTGGGAACCAGGTCCCAAAGCCCGCCGGAAGCAGGGGGAGGAGTCAGAGGAATCCGCGTCCGAAGAGTCGAGGAAGGGTGAGACCTTGGCGGGCAGGAGGACCCAGAGGAGAAAGGAACAGAGGAGGAGGTGGAGCAAGGCGAGGGTCTTGAACTGGTGTACGGGGGGAGGAGATTCAGATGGAGCTTCGACGGTCTAGAGTTACAGACGTAGGGCTGCGCACCGCGGCTGTAAAACCAACAATGAACTTCAATAAAGACTTTTGTATATAAAGAGACACTGGCGTTGGTCCTTTGTGAGCTGGGACCTGAGGCTGCCCTGACAACAGTATTTAAGTCCCCCATGGAGGCGAGGTAACCTTTAACTCAGGGTTACATTGCTAGAGCCTCAGACATGTGTTTTGGTGAACCCACTTTTTTGCAGTTCTCTTCTGATCCAACTCTACTTGCACTTCGTTATGTGCACCTGTTTTTCTCGATCTGAAATATTATCTCCTCTAACTCAGATGCACCTATTAATTTGAGTGGGGCCAGATCAGCATTGTGAGATCTCTGCATTAGCAGAGATGGCTTAGGATGTCAATACCTTAAAGGTCCATAACATGTAGTCCACCAACAACATACAATGGGGTGTTTAATAACTCTTTGAGTTTGCTGCCCCACATAAAACAGGCTTATCAAACCCCTAATGCAGGAGTTCAGAAGTCACTGAGCTAAGTCTCGCATCAGTGGCAGCCAGTATGGCTAGTGGTCATGGAAGATGCAGTACAATACCACCTAAGGGCTACAAATTAGCCTCCCCTGTGTAAGCTGCTACGTTTGCTGGGCCTGTTGAGACACAAGCTGTGCAGTTTTGATCTAGAATTATATGGATTTAATTTTATATAAAAATGAATTGATCTTTCACTATTCTTTTTAAAAAGAAAAAACTTCAAATGCTCCCCGCTTCCCTCTTTAAAAGCTTGTTTGTCTATCCATTTAAGATTAAAACTCCAAGAGCAGTTCAGTATTTCTTTGGCTTCCAATTCAGATGAAGGCATACATCAGAAGTAGCATTTTGGGATAAGTTTTTGAGCGTACATGTCTCCCTATTTGATCCACACATTAAGAATTCTGGTCTCATAGCCTGCTCCTGCTAAATGTTGAGATATTTGTGCTTTGGATTATGTACTTTTAGCGGCCTTCCATCAATCTTCAAGCTACAGGTGACCAGCTACTTTGAAAACTGAAGCCTTTAGGGTATGTTGGCATTCCAATTCTATGTACTCCCTTCAGCTTGTACCGAATGCATTTCACAGCAATTCAGAACTTTTGTAAAATACCTCTTTGTCTGATGTCACACACTGATCCTTTTTCTTGCTGAGCTGCTATATGAAAATACTTTATGTCCTCTCTACTGTGTAGAAAGGCTAATTCAAAATTAGGTTTTACAAAGGCAAAGAGGACACAGACTGTTAACATAAATTTATTTCAAGTCAGGCTGCAATACTAAAAAGTAGCATACAGAAAGGAATTGCATCACACTTTCACATGTTAGCTATGTTATTTGTGCTTGTAAACATTTATTCTACCACTGCAAAACGTCTGTGTAACACACAACTAACTGGAATTGTTCTAAAAATAAATAACCTTTCCAACAGTATAATTTCAATCTATAATGCTCCATAACGTTATTACTGTTTTCTCAGAGGTCCTGAGTGCACACTGGTTTTGAGAGGCTTTTTGGATTGTGGCACATCTCCAGAGTGGACCCAGGTGCTGTTCAGCCAAAGCTAGTGCTTGCAGTATAAATTGGCCTTTCTATTATTAACCACGACCTTTACTCCTCTACATGTATTGTGGAGTAACTATATAGTCAGCAAAGTTGCTTGAACACTTAGATTAATATGCTGGCAAATGTCACCTTTGCGAAAGAACAGGCATGGGTGGAAGTGGATTTAACAGAAGCAGTGGTGACAATTATGGCTCTTAATAATTTTATTTAAAAGTACTGCAAAAATAGTGTAAAAAGATAATTTACTTTTGGACACATTACAGAATCATATACTATCTTAATGAAAATAAGAGATGTCTTTCATAGTCTTCAGGAACATACAGGCAGAATCTGTATATGGCCAAACAATTGAAATTCTGTTTTTCAAAAAAGCAAATGACAGAATTGCTGCTTTGCAAAGATGCTAGTAAAGGATATTGACAATTTGGAATAGAGATATTTAGTGGGTAATGAGCTGAAGATTTTTATTGCAACACAGTTCCCTTTCCTGACTTTAAATTAAAAGCAGTATTTTTGGCCAAAGCCAAAGAACGTTTTAAGTATGGGTGCAAAAACTACTAGTTATTTGAAAATCAGGGTATTGGGGATGTACACTGACAATCAGGCAAGTTTTTATGCATTAAAAAGATCACAGGGACCCCAAACATTTAACCTCATCAAAATTTTGGTTTTAAAGTGTTGATAATCACATGATTCTATCAGTATAAAAAGAATAATGAAAAAGGAGAAACTTGTTCTCAGAAGTGCCATCTAATACAATTCATCACAGCTCAGTATATTTTGGAGCCCAGGTTCCGACAGAAGCAATCTTAAAGCTTTCACATTCTGTAGAATAGTTGAGGCAGTTTGAACAAATATTCCTGCCTAATAGGCACCCCTTTTTCCTTGCTTTGGTGTTTCCCTCTTTAGGATAAAAAGCTTTCACAGTCACACCCTTTATATGAGGGTACAGTCTATGAGGCTGGCCTAAGCTAAACCAATTTGAGTGCAGCAGTTAAGACCAAATGATTGTAAATCATGAGCACTTACAGTGGTGCCTCGCAAGACGAAATTAATTCGTTCCGCGAGTTTTTTCGTCTTGTGATTTTTTCATCTTGCGAAGCACGGTGTTGGAAAAGTTTTGGAAAAGCTTCAAAAATCACCAAAGTCTTCAAAAACCTCAAAAAAGGCTACCACACCGCGTGCTATGAGTTGCTCCTCGAAGTCAAGTCGCAACTGTATTAACGGTTTTAAGAAAAAGGAAACAAACTTGCAAGACGTTTCCGTCTTGCGAAGCAAGCCCATAGGGAAAATCGTCTTGCGAAGCAACTCAAAAAACCAATAACCCTTTCGTCTTGCGAGTTTTCTGTCTTGCAAGGCATTCGTCTTGCGAGGTACCACTGTACTTGGAGTAAGGCTTGTTGAACTCAGTGGGACTTAGCATCTGAATAAATCTGCATAGCATCAATTTGTAAAATTTGAGTAGTAAAGTTGAATTCCTTTAAAAGCAACTGTTCATTCGCAGATTGCAACAAACTTTACAAAGGACGTGAATCACCATTCCAGGTGAAAGAAAGGGGAGGCTTAGAAATGCCAGTACCTGCCCACAGTCTCACAGCGAGTTGCTAGTAAAGCTGTGTGTGGGACTCAAATCTGTTAATGAGCAGTCCAATATTAGCATTCACTGGAGCACAGAGCCTCTGAAAACTGCAGGGAAAGAAACACAACACGACAAGGAGTTTTAAAGACCTGCATGAAAACCTGCCAACCTGAATTTTGTTCCTTTCAGCAGAAGATATACGCCTGCCGAATGGCGAACGGCTTTTAAAAAGGAATTTCAACAGCTTGCGAATGTCGCTTCTTTGTGACACAGTTCAAGAGCTCAGGCTCCTCTTTCTATTCTTCTGGAGTAATTTGAAAACATAATTACACAGAATTCATTGAGAGGCATATCCTCCTACGTATTCGTTTGCCTCACATTCTGCAAACTGCTAGTGTAGTCAAACGACAAATACTAACCTCTCTTTCTCTCTCTTTTAAAAATGCCTTTGTTACTGTGTGATTTCACTGTCAGTCAATACACATAGCCGACAGAAATGTATGTATGTTTGATTACGGGAAACAGATGTTGTTTTTTCCTCCGGTTTCCACAAATGTCAATTCAAAATGCGCACGCCCCTGTCCTCCAACACAAGGTTCCCCATGTGATACAATTGTATACTCCGGATCTTTCCTTTCAACCCACCACTTTCTTTCCTGTGCACAGCTCTAAAACAGACCCACGGCAGAGTTTGTGCATTTCTGCTCAGTTCTACGTGCTGATGTTTTGAAAAAGAGGGCCACTCACAAATCACTGCCACTTAAAATGGATTAAAAATGAAA